AGCTTCCAAGAGGAGGTCCTGCACATAAACAAGCAAAGAATATCAGATAATACTACATGTTAAGTAAACAAAACAACTTAACTAACAACACATACCTAAAGACCAGAATATTCATTCTCAAAAACAAACACATTGCTTCCAGAAAGATACTCTTTGATAAGAGTGTTCTTAAGTTCAATTTCCATCTCACTCAATCCATCAGACCTTCCAAGAAGGCTGTCAAGTAGCTTCTGCTTGGAGAGTCTCTCTTTGACAGCCAAATCCTTCTCTTTCACTTCCCACAAAAGCTGAAGTTCAGCAGCAGAACCAGCTTCAGCTCCTCCTTCACTCTTTCCCTTACCTTTAGACTTGGCTAAAGCCTTGGCTGCCTTCACACCTATAGGCCTTTGAAGACTCTCTTCTTCTACAGATGAAAGTTTAGCTTTCTTCTTGGCAGGAAGTTTGGTCTCACACCAATTGCACCATTTCTGATCAGTCTTGAGGATTCTCCAAACATGCTCAAGACTGAATTTGTTTTTTTGATCTTGATGGTAAAGCTTGTAGGCCAGCACGATAATGTCATCTTCATTCTCTCCACTGCGAGGAGTCCGAGAGGCAAACTCATAACAGCCTGCAAACTTCATCACAAGCTCATTCATTTTTTGCCATTTCTGCTTACAAGTATTTGGCTCTCGGATGGTGAGCTTAGAGACAGCAGGACATGCAGCATAATATGCTGCAACCCTATCCCAAAAGGCAGCTGATCTCTGCTCATTCCCCACAACAGAGTCTTTGGATGTGTTGAGCCAGGCACTTGCAAGTGCCTTCTCTTCAGGAACACTCCATCTCACTCTAGACGCCCTAGCTAAGGATGTGGGTGTTTGGGATTCAGAAAAAGGAGGCTGTGAAGGACTGAGAGGCGTTGGGTTATCTTCTTGGCTAAACAAGATATTGGTGAAGGATTGAGAGGAGGAATAGTTTAAGTTGGAAGCCATTTTGTGTTTTAGAAGAGTTTAAGTGGTTTGTTTAGTTCTCATTGTCGACATTATAAAGGAAAAGCCTCAATAAATAACAAACACAATACTAATTCAAGTCACTGAGACACTAGCCATCAACATAACTTTAATTTAGATGGCTAATGTCTCATCGCCATTTTATTGAACTTTAAGTTTAAGTTCAGTTGCATTTAATTTTTTTTTTCTGTTTAAATTCACTCCATCTCATCACCAACGCCACAAATACATTAAACTTCAGAGAAACTATTGTTAAAGAGATGACAATAAATTCACTATCTACTTTTTCTGTATTCATTGATTCATTTAAAGACAACTACATTCTCAACCACATCTATCTAATCTCTATTAAATCAAAGTGGTCAGTTTCTATTTAATTTCATTGTTCCTAATCTCAATTCAATTCAATTTTACACACACAGAAATTAACAATTAAAGCAATTTAGGAGTGTACCTTTCACCTACGCATCTTCTCCACAACAATTGCACCATGAAGACATTCAGTAGTATCTTCACTTTCCTGCAAATATCAACAGACACATGGATGATGTCAATGACTGATATAAAGAAAATACAAAGTTGTTTGAAAAGAATTTTAAGACTATCAAATCAAATATGTTAAGCTAACCTCATTAGAATCTTCATCAGATGAATCTGAACTGCTTGCAGCCTTGGTAGCAGCAGCATTCTATTTAAATTAAACAAATACAACTAGTTTTAGTACTAGTAAAACACAATTCATAAGTGAAATAAGTGATCAACAAACAGAAAAATTTATCACCTCATCCTCAGAATCATCATCTGAGTCCTCATCAGAGGATGAATCATCTTCAGACGAACTCTCAGACCTTGGCCTTTTTAGCAGCAGCCGCAGCATGCTTCTTGGTTGCAGCCTTCTTGGCTGGAACTTTCTTAGCCTGTCAGATGTATTAAAGCTGATTAGAAATAACTCAATTCACATGCTCAAACCAACAAAAATAAACTAAGACAGTAAAAGTTATACCTTCTCATCTTCCTCAGATTCAGAATCTGATGAATCAGAGCTCTCAACCTTCTTAGTCACCTTCTTCACAGCTTTTTACTTTTGTACAGCAGCAATCACGTCTTCCTTCTGCTTCTTAAGACTCACTTTAGTATCAACATCATCTTCAGGCTCCCTCTTACCTAAAGAGAAGCAGCAAACAAAGTTTTTATCAATAAAACGTTCAATCTCATCATTAAAGGTTCTGAATTCATGATTGAAATATACTACAGAGATAGACAAATAACACCTATCGAATTCTAAGACCTATATTCCCAAACCAATCTTACGGGTTCATGAGACAAACAAATTACACAAATACTTCCATCAGACATATCAGAAGGAGAAACATAGATATAAAAATGCAAACTTTCAAGACCAAACTCGTTATGTAACAGAGAAAGACAAGACCAAAGCATTTAAGGTAAAAGGGAACCAAAGTTCATACCTTTCAAAGGCTTATTACTGGCCTTAACAGCAGAAGGAGCGGAGGAGAGGAGAGAAGCACAAATCAAAGCTCGTTAGGATCGGCGGAGGTGAGGAGAAATCAAAA